CATACTGCGCTGGCCTATGGTAAGACTTCGCCACTGCTAGTCGTTGTATCGTTGGAGGAAACAATAACTTCACAAATTCTGCCAGGTACCACCTGTTAATTACGAGCGTTGCACACCGGTACAGGTTTAGCATTGCGGCTGCCGTACCAGGCCTAGGTAATTCCATATCATTCACAATGGCTTTAATCCAAAAATGTTACGATTGCTACAAATTTTCTTTAAACAGACTCTATCAAATGAATCTTAATAATAAAAAATACGGTCACAAAACCAATTAACGTCACAAAAACGGTTAAAACAGTCTTAACATTGACAGACAAAACAATGTGTGTGACTGCTACCAAGCGCCACCAATAGATAGGTATCATAGTAATATGTACACAAAATTTCAGCTTTGCTACTCAACTCCTTCAAGGTAATGTGACAGGGTTTAAATGTGGCATTTCTGCAGTCATAATATGGCAATATAAAGTGATGAATGCAATAATTAAACAATTTGACATTAATATTTCATACAAGTTTGCATACACCAATGGTAACTATTTTTTATTTTAAACATAGGTCTTGAAAGTAAATTGTTATAAACCATACATCATGCCACACATACCAAGATGAACATAGTTTATTAATTGTTACACTGGACATTGTCAATTCAATTGATGTCACAGTTATCTCATGTCCAGACTTGTTTTTCAAATAGGTTTATTTGCATGTCTCATCCAGTCCATATCACTGCAAAGTAATAAAGAGTCATTTCAGTTTGAGATAGCTAGAGGAACATCTTGTCTAAAGGTGCAGCACACTTTTATACACACATTTGTATTAGAATATATACTTCAGATATCAACATTTAGATCATCACGATGGAGGGAACATCATCCGAGTTATCCAAATGCAGCATTGGTTTAAATTTGAATGATTCCTGCCATAAGAAAAATTTTGTGAGAGGCGATGCTGGCTTCTTTGCAGTTAATCAGATATCAGATGACTTCAGTGCATGATTATATTGAAACAGTTTGTAATACATTACAGTGATGGGGCTGCAAGCCAATATAAAAATCACAAAAATATGTCAAATCTCTGTCACCATTCATCTGATCATGGACTTATTGCTGAATGGCATTTCTTCGCAACCAGTCATAGAAAGAGCCCGTGTGATGGCTTAGGGGGTACCACAAAAAGGCTGGTTGCCAGAGCAAGCCTCCAAGCTACTGTTGAGAACCAAATTCTCAGTCCACTGCAGATATTTGAGTGGGCTGATGGGAACATCACCGGAATTAAATTTCTATATGTTAGTAGTGATGACATTCAAGCCAATGCAGAGAAGTATAACCTTAGTGACAGGTTTGCATCCTCCAAAACAATTGCAGGAACCAGGTCACACCACAGCTTCATACCAACTGATGATGGAAATATTGAAATGCGACGATTACCCAGTGATCAGCATTGTGATGTTGTTACCATCAACAGTGTCCATGCAGGTGTAAGCAATCAAATAGTGGCCAATGAATGTCAACCTGGATGTTATATTGCTTGCATTTATGACAGTGAGTGGTACATTGGTATGGTCACCGAGCGGTCAGATGAGGAGAATGATGTGTATGTCAATTAAGAGTTAATCAGCAAAGAATCAATGGTTTAAAAACTTTCTTGTAGTAAGTTGGTCTTAATAATAATACGATGTCATGAGTTCTCAACTTCGCAATAAATTTTGCTCAAGAACCATACAGGCCACCATTTGATGCGAACCCTTGACATCCATGTAAATGTACAGAATCTAACTGAATGCAAATGTAACTAATCGCAAGTTTTTCAAAGTTTGCCATTTTGTGGCTTTTATGGACTGATTATAAGTTAAATAGTAAAAGACATTAATGTTAATGTATCCCTTTCCCTTTATACACATTGCTTGAAGTCAAATTTTATGAAAAATGGCTCCATTTCAAACAGACAAGGCACCTTGAAGGAGTTGAGTAGCAAAGCTGAAATTTTGTGTACATATTACTATGATAACCTATCTTTGACAGGTTAGAGTTTCAAAAATTATTTCAACTGATCGCGGGGTCATCCAGGGTCACGAACGTCAAGCCATTTAAAGGATTTTTCTGGCTGGGGCCCATTTTGGGACTCTGTATTTTCTGATTTAAAGCTTTAATGGGATTGTTATTACTTCTGGATGTAGTCCTGTGACCATAGATTATATTCAAGTAGAATGGAGCCCATGTTACCCCTAGTTTTCATTCGGGGTGACCCCAAAAATTGCAAAAAAACTTAATCGCTCATTCTGGACCCTACTTTAGGAAATCATAACTTGAAATCTAAAGATGATACATTAAATCTGAGTGCAGATTCATAAAATTTGGCAAAAAGTAAGTCAGAATACCAACTTTGAGCTCTTTGTCTTGTCCGTAAGCCAAAATATGGCATTCTGAAATCCAAAATTATTCAAAATGTCACTTTTCGCGATTCGCGAGTGCGTAAAATGACTAAGTCCAGCAAATTTCAAACGGCCATATCTCAAAAACGACATGGAGTATGACTTTCAAATTTTGCA